CACCCTTAGACTCAAGAGTCTGGGTCTCCACCTTCCGGCTCCTCACATGTCATCACCACTGATCTTGACCTCTTAGGGCCCCTGCTCTGTGTACACTGCCTCCCTGTCCTCCCATTTCTCTTGTGATTAGGCAGCTGATAAGGACCCAGGTTCCCAAGCCCCCACTCCCAGGCTTCCCACCTGTCTCTGTCCCCTCTGGGACCCAGGAGTCAGGGCTCCCAGTCATCCCCTCCTGGGAAGGACACTACAGGTATGCCTGTGGGGCAGCCCCCATGAGCCCTCCAGCTCAGCCCAGCCCAGGACCAGGGTAGGCAGGGTGGTGTGAGTGAGTGTGTGGGGTGAGGCTGGGCAGGCGGTGGTATCGGCCCTGAGGCAGGCTCATCCTTGGGAATGGAGTAATCGGGGCGGAGGGCAGAGATGGAGGTTTCTGCAACGCTGCACATACCGAGATGTCCCCACTGATTAAAGGGGAGGCTGGGGGTGGGGGGGAACCAGTGCAGCTGTGATGTGTCAACTTCCCTCCTCCCACCCCACCCAGCTGAGGCTTCCTCCTTCAAGCTTGGGGGTAGGGGTGTCCCTTGCCACACCTAATTCCCCCCTCCCCACCTCCTTCCCAAAGTCCAGGCATCTAAGTGTCCCATTTTTGTCTGTCTGGGTCACCCAGGAATCCAGGTCCCCAGCCCTGAATTGTGCCCACCCCGCCACCCTGTTCAGGCTTCTGCTCTGCTCCTTCCTGACATTGGGATCTGGGTGCTCTGCTCCCCGCCCCCACCGCCCCGCTCTGCCCTCTGGGGAACCCAGGTCTGGCTGTCCTGGCTCTCCCAGAATTCCTGGCACTTACTAGCTTTTAATGGAAAGGTCTGACTCTGGAGGTGACAATGGCCTCAATTCTGTGGAAACATGACCTCATGACCCAGTGACCTCCCTGTAGCCAGGTCAGAGCTCTAAGAGCAAAATGGCATGTCTTAGAGCTTGAGGAGGGGACAAAAGGGGCCCTCAGGAGAAGCTAGGGAATTCCCATGGGGTACAAGGGAGGCAGGCTTGAGAGCCCTCCAGCCCCTTGTGCACCACACTTGGCTACACTGAGCTCAGCAGGGAGACCTCCCAGCCTCCCTTTCACAAGGAATCCCTGAGGTCTGGGGTGGGCAGTAGCCCTCCCTGTGGCTGGTGGCACATGTGGGTGACATGTCCAGCATCTAGGGGCTCTTAGGGGTGGAGGGTACATCCTGACCTGGCCCAGTTCATCTCCACCTGGCAGTTCTCCCTGCCACCCTTAAGCCCCCAGGGATGGGTGTGAGTGTCCTTGGATGACTCCACAGTTGGCCCATACCCAGGGACCCAGCACTACCTCCCTATCCCCAGGTGCCCCCTCTTTGGCCTGGAGGAAACACCTCCCAGTGTCTGTCCAGCCGTTAGGTCTTTACCTGCCAGGGTGCCTTTTCCACTCAAGTCCGGCTTACTCACCTGAGCTTTTCTGCCTCTCCTTGGTTTTCCCTACTGGGGCATCCTTTGCTTTGGAAAGCCATTCCTGACTTCCCAAGGAGGCCCTGGCTGTCACAGGCAGGATACCAAGCCGACAGGTCAATATAGATAGTTCACAAGACACATAATAGCATCTTATTTTATTTTATTTTATTTTTGACACATAAGAGCATTTTAAACTTTCTAGTTGCCATATTTTTTGAAAAGTAAAAAGAAACGAGTAAGGGGCTGGGTGCAGTGGCTCATGCCTATGATCCCAACACTTAAGGAATTTAAGATGGGAGGACTGAGTGAACCCAGAAGTTTGAGACCAGTCTGGGTGATACAGTTGAGACCTCATCTCTACAAATATATATATATATATATTTTTGAGACGGAGCCTCAAGCTATCCCCCCTGGGGAGAGTGCCATGGCATCATGCTCACAGCAACCTCCAACTCCTGGGCTCAAGCGAGTCTCCTGCCTCAGCCTCCCAAGTAGCTGGGACCACAGGCGCCCACAACAACACCTGGCTTTTTTGGTTGCAGCCATCATTGTTGTTTGGCGGGCCCGGGCTGGGGATTCGAACCCGCCACCTTAGGTGTATGTGGCTGGCGCCTTAGCCGCTTGAGCCACAGGCGTCAAGCCATCTACGAATAAATTTTAAAGAAAATGTTAGCCAGGTGTGGTGGTGGGCACCTGTAGTCCCAGATACTTAGGAGATTAAGGCAGGAGGATCTCTTGAGTCTGGGAGTTGGTGGTTGCAGTGAAATGTGATGATACCACTGCACTCCAGCCCAGGTGACAGAACAAGACCCCGTCTCACAAAAAAAAAAAAAAGTTATTGTAGAGATATAGCCAAAATACCATCATTTCAATGTAATCAATATAAAAATTACTCATGAGATGTTTTATTTGCTTTGTGCTTCAATCCACATGTCCAACTACCAGCTGTTAAATTCATATGAGGTCCTGCCAATGCATGAATGTCGTGTTTAAGGGGAAAGTATTTTGTATGTTTCTCTGTTTTCAAAGTTAAAATTAAATTAAAATGAAATAAAATTGAAAAATTTTACTTCCTCAGTCACCTGTGACACATTTCTGATGCTAAATAGCACCTGCAGCTGGTGACTCCTGAGTTGGACCGCACAGCTCTGAGCCATGTTTATTTACCTGTCTCATTTATAGACACAGTGCCAGAGATTGGCCCAGAGGAGGACTCTCCAGATATTACCTAGGAAAATGGATGGATGGATAGAGGATAGATGGATAGACAGATGGATGGATGAATGGATGGATGGATGGATGGATGTATGGATGGACAGAGGATGTATGGATGTATGTGGTTGGTTGGATGGATGGATGGATGGATGATGAATGGAGGGGTGGCTGAGTGGATGAATGGTTGGATGATTGGATGGATGGATGACTGGACAAGTGGTTGATGAATGGATGAGTGAGGAATGGAGAGATGGCTGCACGAATGGATGGAGGGATGGATGGATAATGAATATATGATGGGATGGCTGGATAGGTGCAAGATTGGGTAGATGGTTGGTTGGATAAACAGATGTAGGGATGGGTGGGTGGATGGATGGATACCTACATGGGTAGAGGGGTGAACAGCTGGTGAAGTGTCCAGGCAGGGTGTCCAGGCTTAGCCCACCAGACATCAGGGGTGTACACTCAGGCCTGGATGAGAATGCCTAGCCCTGTTGCTCTCCCACTAGCCCTGCAGGGAAGCCCTTTTCACGGATGGGAACTTCAGGGTTTAGTGCTGAAACCAACTGAGGCAGGATGTGAGGATGTGGACTCAATCCTGTGACCAGGGGCAGGGATGGGGGCACTCTCACAGCTCAGCATCTGAGCCATGGGAACTGCAGGGATGGGGTGCCCCAAGATGTTTGTCTTCCGTCCACCTTCAGGGTGAGGGTGGGCAATGTTGTGTGGCCAAGTCTCACTACCTCTCTGGCCCCCCCTTTCTGTATCTGTTAGGTGATTCTAACATTTCCCATGCTCCTCACCTATACACCAGTAAGTGGTCAGTAAATATAGTTTTAAGTAATGTTATTTTTGTGTTTATTCAACTAATCAAAATTTCTCTGGCACATACCATAAAATGAGGAGAAATTTCTGGAAAGATTCTACCAAACTATGTGTTGTGTTGGAGGAGGGTCATAGGGACTTTGATTTCCTTTCTAGGTTTATCTACTCAGAAGTTGGCTGGTTTAGGTTTTAAAAAAAAAAAAAAAAAACCAAGGTACACATATTCCTTTTGTCCTATAAAAATAAGTCATTTCCTGTGGAGAGATTAGGGTTCTGAGCCAGATGCCAGGAGACCAGCAGGTAGGGAGGACCAGGGTGGGGATAGATCAAAAGCCTACCGTGCACCAAAGTCTCTGCCAGCACTGAGGAATGTCCCACGTGGCCCTCACAACCACTTGATGAAATGGGTACCATTTACAGGTGGGGAAACCAAGGCACACAAGGGTCAACAAGCCTGGCTCCAGGGCCCACAGCTGGAGGTGCTAGAGCTGGGAATCGAACTAGAGCTGTGACCTTGACACTCCCATGCCTGACTACATTTAGTGGTTACTATTATATTTCTGTGTCTCTCCCTGTCTCCAGTTCTCTCTGTGTATCTCTGTCACCCCTGGGTCTCTCTTTGTCTCTTGCTATCTCTGCCCTCTGTGTCTCTCTGTCATGTCTCTCACGTCTCTGACCCTCTCTCGCGCCCTGTCTCCTGCTCCTGCCTTTCTGCACTGCAGTGCCCCTGCGCTTCTGTGTGTGTCTGTTTCTGTAGTGTCAGCCACAAGGACAAAGTTGCTGTCTATCTTGTTCCTGGCAACGTCCCCAAACTTAAAGCAGTGCCTGACCCATAGGAGATAAATATTTATTTTTTTCTTTTTTGAGACAGAGTTTCACTTTGTCACCCTTGGTAGAGTACTGTGCCATCATAGCTCACAGCAACTCAAATTCCTGAGCACAAGTGACTCACTGGCCTCAGCCTCTGGAGTACCTGGGACTATAGGCGCCCACCACAACATGCGGCTATTTTTAGAGACAGTGTCTCGCTCTTCCTCAGGCTGGTCTTGAACTTATGAGCTCAAGCAATCCACCTGCCTCAGCCTCTCAGAGTGCTAGAATTACACGTGTGAGCCACCGCACCTGGCCATAAATATTTCCTGAATTAATAAAGGAATGAATGAATGAACTCCCTGAGATAGGTGGGCTCAGCCCCATTCATCAACTGAGCTAACCAAGGCTCCAGGTGGGTACACAGATGCCTGGAGCAGCCAGCCCAGAAGGTTCCTACGTGGGCTTGGCGTTGACCCCCTGGACTCTGCCCCTAGCCACTTGCCAGTCGCTGGGGCATGCCCATCACAGCTCCTCCCCGCCCTCAGAGCAGGGTGGCTCCCTCTGGCCTCTCCCACTGTCGGAGGCGTGGGTTGTAGCTGGGAGAACCGGCTGAGTGCTGCCCCTCCCCTTGGGCTGGGCTTAGAGGTAGGCACCTGGCGGGCTCCCCGGGTAGCAGACAGCGCAGACACCTGGCCCCCTGCCGCCTGCTCCCTCCTAGTCCTCCCCTCCCTGCCCAAGCCCATCTGCCATGGACGGGCCCTCCGACTCCCCAAGTTCTCCTCTGTGGGACACCTATGAGAAGGACATCTTGGAAATCAGGTAAGGCCAGTCCTGTCCAGGAGCAGGAAACCCCCATGGAAGAGGTGGCCTGCAGGAGAAGCCAGGGGCCGTGGTAGAAGTTGCCTCTGGCCTCGTGCAGCTTCAGACTCACTCTGGACTTAGCTGGCTATGCTGAGCTGGCCCGGCCCAGCCCCCTTGGGGTACAGGTCCCTCCTGTGGAGGGAGAATGGGGACCTGGCTGTGCTGAGTCACCAGCTGAGATGCTTGAGGTACCCTGTTCCTCTCGGGGTCTCAGTTTTTCTATCTGTCAAAGGGGTCCACAAACCCCTGGCCTTCCAGTGGGAGGGCTGGAGGAGAACAGGCAGCTTGGTGCACAGTAGTTGTTCAGGAAATGTCAGGACCTGTTGTTCCCTGCTCTTCCTCAGGACACCCCAAGCAAGCTTGTGATTAATGGGGGTGTTTCTCTTGTGGGAGCTCAGAATATTATACCTGCTCTGGGTAAGGGTGGGAGAGCAGAGGTGGGAGGGTGAGGTTGCATCTGAGTCCCAGAGGGAGAAGCTGTGTCCCAGGGTCTTGAGGGCCAAGAGAGTGGGCTCTGTACTCTTTACCCTCATAGGAGTGGTTAGGGCAGAGCACTCCCCAGCTTTCTGGGCACGATGTGACTCCTCTGTTGCTGGTAATGAGTCAGTTACTAATAGTACCTGCTTTCCAGATAGGGAAACTGAGGCTGGAAGGGAACATGACCTGAGCATGACAATTACACAGCCAATTTGAAGTCAGTCTGTCTGACCCCAGAATCTGTGGTTTATTTCTCTATCTCCTTGGTGATACTCCTGTTATGCCCCTCCCCATGGCTCCATCTTTCAGATGAGCGAGAAGAGGCTCAGAGAGGGCAGGCGGCTTGCCTGTGAGCATACAGTGAGCGGCTAACATGTTCTCCAACACCCGTTATCTTGTGCTCTTGCCAAACAAGACTCTCCTGCGCCCAGGCTCTTTAGCCAGCCTTGGCTATGAAAAGGGGGACAACCCAGCCCTGTCCCCACCCCAGGGACTTCACTCCATCATACTGTTTGTGGTCCTCTCACCTCCCCCAGCCAGGAGCTGGGGTGTGGAGAGGTCTTCCTGGGCCCACGACTCCAGCCAGACACAATAGCAGTTGAATCCTGAATACTGTGTGACCTGGACAAGCTTCCTAGGGTCTCTGGGCCTTTCAAGCTGAGAGTAGCCACCATGCAGACCCCAATTCTGCCTGAGGGATGTCCAAGCATCCTCTATTCCACATTTTTTTGTCCAGGCTTTCTGGTTCTGCAGTTTCTGACAGAGATAAGTCAGCTGACCTCAGAGTTCTCCACTCTGGGAAGGCCTTACCCCCACTCCAATCCAGGAAGCCCCAACAGTTGGCCATAAAATCCTGAGTGACCTTGCTAAGTATGTGGACTGGATTTAATCATTTGCCCTCTCTGAACCTCAGTTTCCTCATCTGAGACATGGGGACAAATAGCCCTTAAAATGCTGTCTGCAGCCCCCTGGAGCCCTTAAGATCTCATACTTCCTTGAGCTTCTGGAGCCCCCTAGACCTAAGTGAACTTTCCAGGAGCCTTAGTCTTCTCTCCTGAGGCCTATGCCCCTGGTTACCCCTCCGAAGCCTCTCAAGCGCAAAGCATCCCCAGAATGCCTCCAGCTCCAGAGATGCCCATGTCAAGGTTGCCCCAACTATTACTAGGTCATGGCCACAGGCTTCATATTTACCCCTACTTTGCTCTCTGCACCCTAGCCTGACAGTCCCCAAGCCCCAAGTTCTCAGGGCCCCAGCTAAGCCCTCACCATTTCCTCCTGGAGTCTTGTCCCATCCTCCAGGTCCCAGAGCTGCCCCTTCTACCCTCTCAGCCATCCCAGGAATTCCTCAGCACCCAGTCCCTCCAGATCCTGCTGCTGTGACCTTCAATCCCCAGCCCCAAGCCAATCTTCTCCCTAGTCTGCATTCCATCCATGTTATTATACCAGCTGCCCTGGCCCTGCCTCACTGTTCCCTGCCCCAGTGCCTTTGCACATTCGATCCCTTCCCCAGAGATTCCAAAGAGATATTTTCTTGTCCCCAAATCTATCTCTGGCCCTCTCCAGTTTAAGGCCCTTCTGTGTCTCATCAGCACACACAGCAATGGTTTCCAAGACCTTTTTAAGGATCAGATTTCCTTCCTCCAAGAGAAATTCTTGTTCCCAGCAGAAATACGCAATAGAGATCAGAAGAGAGCTGCTCCAGTTTGAAATGGGGGAGTGGACTGGGCTCCAGGGTCCCCTCTTGTCCCCCTCATCTACTCCACACACACCCACATCCACTCTCCTGGTGAACGTGGCTCCAGTGACAATTTGAGACCCTACTGCGGCCTTTCTCTAGTCCTCACCTTTCCCATTGTTTCCCCAACCCTACCTAGAAATAGGTCTAGAAAGCAGCCTGGATCTCATCCACCTTCAGGCCACTACACCTGTAGTTTCCTTTGCCAGGGGTGACCTCTGCCCTCTCACCTTCATTTGTCAAACTCCTTCTCAGGCTTTAAGATTAAATGTGGGCAATCGAAAACTTTTGGCCAGGGAGCAGTAGACAAGATGAGCCCATCCCCAGGTCCTGGGTCATGCTGGTCTGTCTTCAGATCTTGTCCTGAGCTGGATGATGTGACTCACGCCTGTAATCCTAGCACTCTGAGAGACTAAGGCAGGAGGATTCCTTGAGCTCAGGAGTTCAAGACCAGCCTGAGCAAGATGGAGACCCCATCTCTACTAAAAACAGAAACATTAACCAGGTGTGGTAGTGAGCACCTGTAGTCCCACCTACTTGAGAGGCAAGATGATCACTTGAACCCAGGAGTTTGAGGTTTCTGTAAGTTAGACTGAGGCCATTGCACTCTAATCTGGACAACAGAGTGAGACTCTGTCTCAAAAAGAAAAAAAATCTGGTCCCGTGACACCAAAATGTTGGCCTGTTCTTAACTAGGCGCAGGATATAGGAAATCTGTAAAAAGGATACCAAGAAATGAATGAATGGAGATGAGATCAGGCAACCTGCCAGCTGGAGCTTGCAAAGTGTATCAGGGTTAGGAGCTGCAGAGGAGGTCAGGGCGTGCTGGGGAGGAGATGGCAGGGGCAAAGGAACAGAGACTGCTTCCGGAAAATACCAGGCAGCCTGTATCAGAGGGGCGAGGAGCTAGCAGTGGAAAACTCCCTACAGAGGACCATCCTGCAAAGAGACCAGTGTGGCTCCCACAGCTGGGTGAAAGAGACTAACTGCAGCCGGAATCCATTTCTCCAAGTCCCCAGAACGAGAAAAGCTAAACCATATAGTGTCTTCAGAACACAGGCATATACAAGTGTAATTGATACATATGTGTATATATATAATCAAACAAACAAGGGAAATGACTAGGATTTAATTTAGGATTACAGTTGACAGGAGGAGCCCAGTAATACCAGAAAGATGCATTGCTTGGATTGCTTTAGTTTTGGGGCTTGTTACAAAGTATACTTTATAAATCCAAGATGTGTACCACAGAACCTTGAATGTATCCAGTAGACTAAGAAGAATAACAAGGGCAAAACAAACATTTTAAGAGCAAAATGTCAGGCACAAGAAATAGGCAGGAGAGGCGGCAGAGCCAAGGTAGAGACAAGCCTGGGGTAATCCTCATAGCATCTTCAAGTGCTCACTGAGCTGAGTGCTGGCTGTGTCACCTCGCCTAATCCTCCCAACCATCTGAGATTAACCACTAGAATGATTATTGTAATCCCATTTCAAATCTGAGGCTCAGAGAGGTTGAATGACTTGCCCAAGGTCACACAGCTGCCAAGTGGGACATAGCCAAGGTTTGAACCAGGAAGAGTTGACTGTATCACTCGCTGGAGGAGAATCTGGGGATGAGCAAGATCAGGAAGGAGCAGGAAGGGGAAGTAGAGACCCTGCTCAGCCAGGAGGCACAGTGGGTGCTCAGAACTTCCTTGCATTTTCTGCTCGTGGGGCTGAACCACCACTAGCCCTACCACTAGAGAGGGTCAAAGCCAGAGAAGTCAGGCTGGCTTTTGGAACTGGGGTGGCCTTGGTAACTCAGCATAGCTGTGGTTGCCTCTTCTCCCCATCCACCCCCAACTCCTCTGATCTCAAGTCCTGGTGTGGGCACTTTTCTGATCCCTGCTTCTTTATGGCCAGGAGGGGAGGAGATGCCAGGTCGGGTTTTATAACCCTGGCCCCTCCTTTCTTGGGGAGGGCTGAGCCACTTGAATGATTTTACAGCCACAGCCCTGCCAGTCACAGAGCTGCATAAGGGGGTTTTAAACAATAAAGAAATATTAAGTCATTAGGCCTCACTGTCTGGGTGGGGTTCGGGCAGGCAGACTGGAGACAGAGGCTTTGGGGCCCTCACTATTAGATACAGGGCCTTGGTGAGACTTAGAAAAGGATGCTCACAGCATCCCCACTCAACCTGCAAGGGATCCTGGCTTGGGGAGCAGAGGGCAGGAGCTTTTTTGCCTGTCTGTTTCTACAGGCTCTCTGGGGGAATGTTGTTGGGGTGCTGTGTCTGGTGTTCCTGAGAGGTGAAGGCTGGAAAGCAGGACTGTCCAAACCCATCAGGAAAGCACCAAGCAGCAGAGAGTTGGACCCAGTGGACCGTCCATGATACCACACACCACCTGGAGTTGCTGGGAGGCTTGAACTGGAGTCCCCAAGAGAGGTGTGGCCAGCAACTCCTGTGGGGTTCAGGTCCCTGAGGGTCAGGGAAATTCAGGACCCTGTCACTGCAGACAGGAATGCTCTCATAAAGGCAACCTTGGGCTCAAATCCCTCCCCATTGCTGGTAAGCTGGGACCACCGGGCAGCCAAGAATATATGGGTTGGATGATGCCCAGGGGAGACCAGGCAACCCCAGCTCTCTGCTGAGTCCCTGTTTGTGCTGTTTTCTTCCTTCCTCCTTCTTGAATTGCTGTGACCCTTCCTGGGGCAGGAACTCAAGCTCAAGGAAGTGTGGGGACAGGATAAAGACAGATAATAAGTA